TCTGAGGGTGGGATCTTGGAAGGAGAAAAAACTCCTGATCATCCTTCAGGACCTAGAGGATTGCTCCAGCTGTCAGGAATAGGGGAAAAATGACACCAAAGCGAGTAAAGGCACAGAACAGCTCTGATGCTTGTGGATGGGAAGGACAGAAACCCTGAAGACACCCGAGCAGAGCAGTTGTGTCACATCCTCCAGGTGCCACCACGCCAGGACATCACCAGGTGGCCATCGGCATGGCTGTGCTCACCGGTCCCCTCCTCCAGCATCAACACATGGGCATAGAGCTGGCTCTTGTAGAAGGAGCTGGTCAGGTTGAAGAAAGCCACTGGCACCTCGGTGGAGAAGCATCCGTTCCTCCCTGCCTGAAGGAGAGTCACCCACATCAGCAGCAGCCCTGTGGCTGGGCCCTTGAGTGTCACCTGCTGTCACCCTTGGGCTCCCAGCTGCCACTTGCCCGGCTGCAGCTGCCTCCCTCCATCCTGCCCTGCAACCCCGGGATCCTGCAAACTTGCCCCCCTGGGGCTGGTACCATGCTCTGCCATGCAGCTGGCTGCCCCATCCCTGCCCTTCCCGGCCCGAGGACCACGCCAAGAGCCTCTGCTCGGCTCCTCTGCCCTCTGGGTTTGCAGCACTTTCACATGAGAGCTAGGTCACCTGGCAATGCCTGAAAGATGCACCCAGCCATCATCAGCCCAGGCACCTCAAGATGGCGAAACTGTTCCAGAACCACCACCCCTGCGCCTTCTCCCTCTCCTGCTCCCCTCACCTGGCCCCTAAACTCATCACAGATCCTCCTAGGTGCATCCTCGAAAACATGGGTTTGGGACTGGCACAGCTTGGCCTTAGCCCTTCCACGGAAAGTTTTCCCAGATGGGTACCTGTCAGGAGGGAGCAGGAAAGGGAGTATATGGGGAGGCTGCTGGGGGAACATCACCTCGAGAGCAGCCAGCCTTGCTGCTGGGGCTGCTCTCCAACTCACCGCCCACAGACGCCCAGCGGGATCTTCTCATCCGTCACCTTCAAGACACAGGGCAACTGGATCAGCACTTCAAAGTGGGGCAGCCCTGGGAGGAGACCAGTAGGAAATGGGATTGTGCCCGTTTCTTCCCTCAGGAGTTTTTTTCCATCCCATGCGATGGCTCCCGAACACCCTGTGTGGAGCCCAGCCTTCATCCCCACGCACCATATTCCGCCACGCTGAAGGAGTGCCTCTTCCCCTCCACCTCGATGATGTAGGTGCCCAGGGCCGGCTCCGCAGCCAGCGGGAGGGACAGCTCCACGATGCCCTGCCGCGGGCTCACCTCCTGCCACTGCGCGACGCGGGTCCCGCTGGGATCCTGCGCACAGGGACGCGCGGCGTCAGCCCTCGCTTGCGGGGCTGAAGACGGGGGTGCATGGTGGTGGTGGTGGGTTGGCAACCTCAAGGACTCAAGCCACTCTGCATATTCTGGCAAGAAGCAGGTTTTGCCCTCCCATCACGCTCGGAGTGGCCCTGATGGCATCACCTCTCCAGAAGGAAAATTTCCCCACAGGGTCTATATTTGCCGAGCTCCAGCCTGACTACAGCAGCCAAAGCTGGCAGGAGGATGCTCCAGCCTGGACTGGGAGCTCAGGAGGTTCTCCAGTTTGGGTCAAAGTCTCCACTGCTGCCTTCATCTGTGTAACCTGTCCCTGAGCAGCATCTCTACATAAGAACCCCTGTCTTGCAGGCAGACAGCAAGCTGACCCTGAGTGGGCTGGAAATGCAGACAAGGAACCCAAGCCCTTCTCCCCACTCTTCGTAACTTCTCTCAGCGCCTGAAACAGGGATGATGTCCCTGTCCCCACTTCTTGTCCTCAGCATCACAGACATACTGGGACCCTTTGCTCCTCCTAAGGGAGCTGACAGGCTGGCACAGGGTGACAACTCACCTGCACGGCCACCCAGGAAAGCTGCAAAGAAAGAGAGAGGAAGCATTCAGCATGATCAAAGCACAGAGGGCTGAGCTGGGGACTGTGCCTGTGGGCTCTGCCTTGGCCCCTACAGAGCTGTTCAGTGGGCGGGGGGCTTGGCAGGGCTCGGAGCTGCTGTCACTGCTCAGTTCCCACTGCCACGTCCAACAAATGTCACGCTGCCTTTTCCAAGCAGCAGGACACAAGCAGCGAGGCTGCGTGGCGCAAACAGCAGTAGCTGTGTGAGTGGGCCTGCCAGCACCATGTAACACCAGGAGTCTAAAACCAGTGGTGCTTAATGATACAGAAAAGCTACACACAAGAGAGGACAGGCAAAGGGATGGTGCAAAGGGAATAATTCACCTCCTGCGCCAGCGCCAAAAGCAAGAGGCTGTATCCTGGGCACTCAGGTCAGGAGTGCTGGAAGAGCTGTGTCCTGTCCCCCCCATCCCACATCTCTTCAGCGTTTGGGGGGATTCCCTCCCCACACCCATCTCCACACTCGTGGTGACACTGCAGACCGTGCCACTGCTGCCGAGACCGATCGTCTCAGGCACAGGGGGATCCTATTGCCTCCACACCCACCCTGTGCCCCGAGCCTGCCTCACCTCCCTGTTACTGGGAATGAAGTTTTGATCGAAACGGATGATTCGAAACTTCACTGGGAAGAGAAAAGGCAGGAGCAGAGTGAGCACGAGGGCCTGGGACCCAAACCTGGGGATCCCAAGAGCCTGTGAGCTCTTCCAGCAGCTCCTGCCCCTCACCAGTATCTCCAGGCTTGTAGACATCCTTGTCTGTCTGCACCAAGGTCCCCAGTCCCAGGGCTTTCACCAGTACTTTCTTCTGCTCAGAGACCTGCAGGGAACCTCCCTGGATGGAGACGTGAAGATGCGCAACCTCATGAATCCTTGCAGGAGGGCCAGAAATCTGCCCCGGAGAAACAGCAGAAATGGTTGCAAAACCTTTATGTTGGATGCCAGTGAGACATCACACCCGTACCCCACCATCACTGCCACGTTGCCCCATGAAGGCACCAGGGGACTGGTGTACTTGGGAAGATTGATGCAGATGAAACCCACAAGGTCTCCGTATATTCCCCATGTCTCTTCGCTCCTCAGCTCCCTTGTTGTCCATCTGGGATGGACCCCATGTCCCCTCCCAGTTCCACCAGCCCGGCTCTGGCAGTGGGTGGAGGATGGATACCCCTTCCCGAGGTCCTTATCCCACCGCGGAGCAGTGACTCACGTTGGAGAAGTGGGGCCAGTTCAGCTGGAGGATGTCGCTGCCCTGCTTCTCCAGGGTGACATTGGGGACGCCGTGGCTGCTTGCCAGGTGGAGAGTCACCCGCACGGGCTCATCCAGGTCCATGAGGTGGACGTGCACTTTGCCCGTGTATGGATAATAGAACACGGAGGGGAAGAGCACCATGTAGTGCCTGGGGAGGGGACACCTTGGTAGTGGAGGAGAGCAGGGACCCCCCACCAAATCCCACTGATCCCCTCCACTCCAGACTCTCGAGGCAGAGGGTACTTGAGTTTTTTCCAGCCCTGGGTGCTCTCTGCAGGACTGTGCCACCCAGCCTTCCCCCAATCTACCGAGGGAGGTAGACCAGAGTGGAGCCCCCTTTGCCTAAACACCTTGGGAAAGAGCCGAGGGGTCAATCTGCGGAAGGAAGGAAAGATCTGCCGACCCACCAGCTTCTGTGTGAGGTTGTCCCTACACCAAAGCTGCCCAGAGACACCAAACCCAGCTGCAAAGCTCTTTATGGGGACAACCCTCCACCCCAAGCATTTCCACCCTGACCCGTGACCACAGCCACAGCAAGGATCGTCACAGCACTGAGACAAACCACCATCCCACCAGGCATGGACAGGCGGACACGGCGAGGGCTTACGGCTTTGCAGATGCTGCAGCTGTGAGGTACAAGATGCAAAGCAGCAGGCAGGGCAGGGCGGCTGCAGACCCCATGCTTGAAGGACCAGTGGAAGCAAGGTGGTCCCAGAGCCCCTGCGCTGAGTTTTCTTCCTCTCCTCAAGCTTTCACCTCCCCTCTGACAACCAGCACAAGCCAGCAAGGTCTCTGGCTGGGGCCCAGCCATCCAGCTAGGACAATGTTTAACTACCAGACCCGAGGTTTGCTGGGTTCAAGGCTTTGGGAAGCCAAACCACACCCACGGTGGTGGGACCGCTGAGCCAACTCAGAGCTGATAGACTAAACTGCACATAGGGACCCCTGGCACAAAGGAAGGGAATAAAGGGGCTTTCTGGGAAATTAGATCCTTCATGTGCATGCTGCCCTTGACCACCTCCACATGACTGTTCCTGATCCGGTGAGTTGCTACTCATGGGAAACCTCTTTTCTGTTGCTAATATTTTTGCCTAGTGATATGTCTGGGCAGATGATTGCCAGAGTTTCATAGAGTTTCCTCCACGATGAGCCACCCGCTTCCAACAGCAGGAACACCACCAAACCGGAGCGCAGTGCCCTTCTTTGGCCATGGTTTGCACATCTTAATTGAAGACGGGAGGTGAATCCTGCCCACCCTGCTCCTAGCACTGGCGACAGCCACGCACTGCATTTCTCCCTGCTCTGCTGTCACCCTGGAGCGGCTGGGACAGGAGCTGCTCAGCTGGGAAGGAGCCAGCAGATGCCCAAAGCCCTGCTTGGGTGCAGGGAACAGGCCAGCAGAGCTGGTAGCTGGTGGATGGGTCTGGTTGTGCCACGGGCTGGAGGCCATGGGTTGGTCCGTGCTGCTCCAGGTGGGCATAATCCAGGCACTTCTGCCCTCTGAGGGTTTGGGGCTTTAATGGATGTTTTTCCTGTGCATTTACTGCTTGTCCCTAAAGCAGGGAGAGGTCAGCCTCAGGGGAAGACCTAGTCCACCCCGGTATAACTCCCACCTTGCCACGAGCTCCTCACACTGTCCGGCACAGCACCCCATGGAGAAGCTGTGGTGTCCGTGGGGATGTTCCACGTGCAGCACTACAGGCACCCTGCGTGACCCCAAGGAGACAGATCCCCCTCCCCACACCCGAGGCGCAGGCAGAACACCGTGCACACACACACACCACCGCGTATGGACTCTTTAATCTTGCACCCTTGTCTCATAGTTCAGCATTGAGGATGCTCTTCCCACGCGGCAGTATCCCCTGGACCGCCTGCCCGCCCCTGCAAGCCACACGCTGCTCCCCCAGAGCTGGCTGCATTGCCAGCTTGCAGGAGGCTCTGGAAGAAGTGGGGTGAACCCCGCTGCGAGTCACACCGTCAGGAGTGGAAAGTGGTGCAGTGAACCCCCAGCCCTGCCTGGCACATCTCTCCCCGCTACCCACTGTGCAGGCAGGACCCAGCCAGGCAGACGGGGCTTGCTGCCCGGGGCCAGAGACAGCACCGGGTTTGGAGGGGACAGGGGGATGCACAGTCATAGCAAAGGGGTTCTGGGGGCACCTTGCACTGTTTTTGTGGTGTTGCCTGGTCCCCGTCCCACGCTGCTCTGCTTCCCCTTGCACCAGGGCACCATCCTGCTCTCACAGGTTTCTGGAGCGGTTGGCAGATCTGGTGGACACATCTGCAGGGGACAAGGAGACAGTATGACCCAGCCTCTGCCTGTGGCACCTCCCTTACGTCCCCAAGGGGCTGGGGGTCCCTCTGACTAATTGCTGGTCCCGGTTGTGTCCTCCTCACACTGTGAGCTGCCCGTCCCCCTGCCAGCATCGGCCCCAGTGCAGCGCAGGAGCGGAGCCTTCTCAGCATCCTGGTTCCCGCAGTGATTTGCAGACATCTCAGCAAGGGCATCAACCATGGCCTGGCGGACAGTCTCTGTCAGTTTGGGGACATCCTTTGGGCTCAGGCCCTGGGTTTCTACCTTGGGGAGGATTCGTATGGTGCACATCCCTGGAGAGAGAAGGGAAAGGCCAGGGATGCTGTTAGACAAACCCAGCAGGAACCAGCTCTTCCCACCATCATCCTCCACCATCAGTCACCTCCCCACGCCTCAGCCTCCCACAAAGAGACCTCCAAGCCCCGCGTGCCTCATCCCCCGCACCAGCTCTACTTTCCAGCAACAGGGTTTCTTGTCCATCACTTACCAGAATTGAATTTCTTTTCCTTGGAGCTGAAGAAATGCCAGTATGGGGAGATCACGATGGGGAAAATGGGAACCTGTAGGAGATGGAGGATCAGGGGTGTCTTCCTTACAGACCCCCTCCCCAGGTGGGACTCTAGCTCCTGGCACGTCCCAGGCTTCAGCAGGTCCCTGTCCCCTCCCTGGGGCCTGCACAGCTGGATGTCTGTCCCTGGGGACTGCAGACCCCAAAAGACCCTGATGTCCCCCATCCTGCTGCCCCAGGGTGCACGCCAGCCCCACTGCGTCAAGGGCAAGGGGAGGGGGAGGATGGCCTTACCTGAGCCTGCACAGCCAAGTGAAAAGCTCCCCGCTTGAAGGGCAGCATGGATTTGTCCTGGTTCCTGGTGCCTTCAGGGAAAATCAGCACTCGGAGCTGCATGGGACAGGGAGAGACGTGACCATGGACCCCAAGCAGAGCATCCTGGGACCTGCTGTGTCAGTCGTCCCCGCACCCTCCTCGTCCCATTGGTGTTTGCTCCCCGACTCCCCCCTGCTGCCAGCCCCCCCACCTCACATTTTCACGCCGCATGGTCCTGGCCGTCTGGGAGATGACATCGATCGCATCTTCTCTTTTGTGGCGGTCGATGAAGATGATGCCACTGAGCCAGCAGGCCCACCCCACGGTGCCCATGTACATGAGCTCCTTCTTGGCAATGGGCACACAGCGGTCAGGAATGACCTCCACCATGCCTGGAGGATGGATGGGAGAGGAAAGGATCCATCCCTGCCCAGTGGCACCCAGAACCAACTATCCCTGTGGCCGTAGCGACCTGGCATCATCTTCCACTGTCCCAACCCTCTCTGCAGTGCACCCATAGACCTGAGCTCCTGTCCCACCCGAGCTCCTGTCCCACCAGTTCTTCTGGCCTATGCCTACCACACTTCCCTGTACAAATCCTGGTGCTGGCCTCACTGGGAACCCCTCGGGGTGAGCCTGTTCCCCCCCTGCAGCACCCCATGCAGTGAGGAGCCCCCCCTTTCCCTTGAACGTACCCAGGAGGTCAAGGGAAGCTTGGTGGTTGCAAACTATCACATAGGGCTCCTTGATGTTCAGATGCTCAGAGCCCCACACCTGCATCTTGATGCCATAGAAGCGTTTGAGGGGCAGGATGGCAGCACGCAGGAGCCTAGGGCAGAGGAACACATGTGGGGAGCAGATCGACACAGAGCAGGGCTGCTTGATTTTTTCCAGTCCTTCACAGTCACTCAGGGAGCGAGGTGCAAGGTGGGCCAGGCTAGATCTGGTCTACATGAGCAAATAGAGCGTCCCAAGGTGGATCTATACTCAGCCTCAGTGATGCTTTGCTTTTCTAAGCACATCTGTAGCCTGCATAGCTCAGAGCTGACCTTCTAACCACCCCTGAGGTGAGACCAGCTGCTGTTTCAGTAGTGGAAAGTCCGCATTGAAACTGCTACTGAAGAGCAGCCAGCATGAGTTGGTGGGAGAAGAAAAAAAACGAAAAGGCTTTTTAATGTCCAGGCAGGGGTGATGGGAAAACGAGAAGAGAAGAAATGAGATGTCTGCCTGCAGCCAAGGTGTAAGTCATCACACCCCAACGAGGACAACTGCCCCTGGGCAGGTGAACCTCACCCTGAGGCTCAGAGCTGAGCCAGATCCGCATGTGCAGGCTGGAAACCCAGATAGAGCGCACAGCCTGCGCTGCAGATACCTAAACCAGAGGAGCTGGATCACAGCTGCGAGGTGCTGAGCTGTAAATGAGTGAGCACTGGAGGCGGACCTGCAGAGGAACAGTCTCGAGACAGACAGGTCTACATGGATGCGGATGTCTCCAGGGACTGTCCCTGCAGAGCAACACTGCAGGCACCAAGATTTGTGCTGCAGATTTGGGGGGAAGAGAGCAGGGAAGGGAAAACGAACTCAGCTTCACTCATTGGAGGAAATCACAAAGAATAGCTTCACTGGACCTGCAGTGCTGGGAAGAGAAGGAGGTTTCATCTGTGCAGTTGTAAGGGAGGAACAAGGAAGAGTGGTGTCACCATCCAAGGAGGGCTGGACAGGAAGGGTAACATCAGGATGGCAGGGCTGATGAAGAATGACACTCAGCTTGAGAATAACGAGAGGAATGGAGGGAGGATGGAGCAACGGAGATTGCAGCACCCACAGAGGAGATAAAAAGCTGGTACGTTTTCAGTGTTGAAATGAGGCACTCTCCAACACACAGCATGAGGAGCACCCGTGCCAGGGTCCACACATCTGGCAGCAACTGGTCCCAGGGAGCCCAGGGGACAGGGCAGGGGACAGGGCTGTCAGCAAGAGCTCAGTACCAAGTAGGGATGAGAAGACGTTTGGGAGGAGAGAGCAGAGGCAGGCACAGAGGGAGGAGGGGGCGTGATGCTTAGAGGGTCCTTTGTATCAGCAGATCACACATCCCTTGGGACACGCAGGCTCAGAGATACCTGTGTCTACAGAGAAGCAAAACACTTGTGGGAATGCCCCAAAGCCAAGACTAATGACAGGAACGTGCACCAAGCCGGAGGCCTTGGGATTTGGAGGCTGAGGAGGAGATGGGGCTGGGCGTGCTGCTCTGGTGGAAGATGGCTGCAAGGTGTCGGTGGGACAAGATAAGGCGGCGTGAGTCACCGCTGCATCATGCAGGGTATTTCCACTATGCCGGAAGCTTTCGTGCCAGGGCTCAGAGCACCCGTGCGTGTGTGTGTGTGCACAACATTTCTGCATGGAAAGGACAAGGGAGAGAGGCTACACAACGGACAGATAACATCAAACCTCTGACCACACTCCTAGCGAGGGCCTGAAATCCATCAGCACAAGTACATGATGGCTCCAGCTCAGCAAACACCACAAGCTCGGACATTTTTCACTCTGAAATAATTATATCTCTTCTGGTATGTTATCATGCCCAGGAATCCTGTAACAAGATTACAACACTCTTGAAAGCAACCAGACCTTCCTCTCATGTTGCACAGCGATGTTATCATCGCGGCTGCCACCACCCTCGAGCACAGCTGACAGCACCAGCGCGTGACTCCCCAGGACATGACTGTGCCATGCCTGGCAGCTGATGGCACCGAGACATTCCAAAATCCCTCTGCCAAAGTGCGGTCCCTGGGGCTCCCACAGAGCAAGACTTGGCTGCACTGCCAGGGAAATGGCGATGGGTGTGCGTTTGCATCCTGCTAATGATTGTACCTCCAATCGTTGACAACCCCCCCGCCCTGTCACCCACCAAACTGATGGTCCCAATGTTGCAGTGGCCAAAACCGATCCCTTTTACGCTACTTCATCCTCCAGGGACCACCAGTCTGACCCAGCTGGCCACCTCCATCGTGGCGTAACCCTCACTGAGCATGGCCAGCACCTCTTCACCACGCCACAAGATGCAGATGCACCCTTCATTGCCACATGGACATGACCACAGCCCTCACCATGGCCCCAGGGCTCAACCACTGGCCATAACACAGCTGTGGGTATGCCCAGAGCAGGAGAGAGCATGTGTCCACAGGACACATCTCCATCACAGCCAAGCCCCAGTCATCTCCACATTGGATGCACATCCCCAGGCTGTACTCACTTCATGTTCTCCACGGAGCGTCCCCGAAGAGCTGCAAAGGGGGACAGGAGGGTGGCCATGGCCACGATCCAGCAGTTGAAGAAGGCCACCTTGCAGAAGTAGTGGAAGGTGGCATTGTACCGGTAAAGCAACAGGCCTGCCAAGGGAAGGAGGAGAAGCAGACCGTGGAGCAGGACCACCTCCATCGTGCTGCCCCGGCGGGAGGATGCTGTGGAGCTCAGCCCGTGTTCCTGGGAGCACGGCGAGTGGAGCAGGGGATGCCGAGGAGTGTGGCAGGTGAATCAGATGTATCAGCAGAGCAGCCCGTGGGCGTTTGGGGCTGGTCCAGGGGAAGGTGCTGTGTGTATCTCACCCTGTACAGAAGCTTGAGGATGGACTGGCTCAGGCAGGAGGCATGCTACCCCACCAAGGGTGGAGAGTGGTAGCAAGTCAACACCGGGGACCCCAGGTCACCTAAAGTGTCACTGCGGATGAGTGTCCTCCTGGGCTGTTAAAAGCCATTGCAGTGCCTCTGACTTGGTGCAATCAGATCTGTTGCCCACAAAAGTGTCTTTGCTGCAGGCACCTCTCCTGGCCACAGGGACCTCAACCCTGGGAAAGGGGGATCTTAGCTGGTAGGGACAGCGGGAGCTGGTTCTAGTCCACGCCCATCACCCCAGCAAGGCTTGACACAGATCCCTGTTGGCATTGTGGCTAATCCCCAAACCTCACCCTGCAGGGCATCAGATTATTGGAAGGTAGATGTCCCTCTTGCTCCCTGCCTGGGTCTGCAGCAGGCACATGGTGCCAGTGCTCCCCATCTCCCCAGTCCCCCCAGTTTGGGCTGCAAGAGCCCCTCTGCCCTTCCCCTCCCAAGGCCCAGCATCTGTCACCAAGATCCAACCAATGCCAGAGGGGTCCGAGCCCTGTCACCCCCCTGGTCCCACCCTGGGCTGAAGGCGATGCCAGCCCTCGCCCCAGTTGGCAGCCAGGGGCTGCATTGCGTTAGGTGTTTACACAGGTGCAATTAGCATGCACAGGGCTGTAATTAGCCTCTCCTTCCGCTCTGTTGCTTTCGCACCGGCCGTGCAGGATCCAGGCCAACTCTGCTTTGCCCTACAGAAACCCTGATCTTGCTTTTAAAAAGGAAGTGCTTGTCATTGCAGATATAACTCTGGCTTGGTCTCAGCCACCAGCAGCATCTCCCAGCCGCGCTGTTCCATGTCCCGTGCCCTGCCAGGGACACCCGCATGCTGCTGCCCAGACCCATCGGTTCACCTCTGTCCCTTGGGGCAGGACCCTGTGAGCAGAGAGCTCTGCCCGTGCCTTCCCGTAACAACCCCACCAGGGATCTGGGGCAAACAGTCCCATTATACTGTTCTGGGGAGGGACATCACATCACCTGGGTCAAACCCAGCAGCCGTGTCCCTCCTCTGACACAGCCTACCTTCGGCAAAACCACTCTGCATTTCTCCTGCTCCATTCCCCTCCATGCCCACGGCTGTTCTTTCCACCCGTACCTTCCCCCTGTCCCTGCTGATGTAGGTGCAAGTAGAAGCCTTTGGGCTCCCGGTTGTGGGAGCCATTCTGCCAGCTGAAGGTCGCCCCCATTCAACCAGCATGACCCAGAGAGGGCTCCAAGGGTTGTTTCCACCATGGGTGTTGCAATCCACATTGCTTCATCCTCCCATTCCTCTCATTATTCTCATCTTCAAGGTAAGATTGGGTCATACTCGAGCCCACCCTTCCTGTCCACCCCATCCCCGGGTGACTTCTCGCCTCCCTTTCTGTCTATACAGACATGGAAACCTTTACACACCAGTCTAGTTTCCCATCAAACTCGGCTCAGATTTTGGATGGTCTCCTTCACTTCAGCTCCTGGTGCTCTGCCCAGCCAGTCTCGCAGCCTCACAGAGTGTTCCCACCTGGAGATGTGCCTTCACGCCACAACCCAGCGCGGCTCTTTCACTCCACATTGAGGAGCTGCTTCTCCAGCTTCAGCGGGAGCCAGGCTGAGCTGTGCTGCAGGGGAAGATCCGGGCCAGAGCGCAGCTCAGTCCTGGGCTCGGGGAGGATGAGCCCTCCTTTCCCCAGGGACCCCAGAAGAGACACAGGGCAGCCCTCGTGCCCAGTGTGGGCAGAAGGAGGGGAGTGAAGGTGCAGCTGCACCATCTTTCTGTACGCTCTGAGCTCCAGATGACCACCAGCCCTGAAGTCTCCTGCTAGGAGCTTTACTCTTAAGGCAAAGCTTCCTGATAACTGGCCTGGAACCCCACTGGGTTCTGAGCAGGGCTGTCACCCCCAAGTTGGGGGAGGGGGTGTAGCAGAGACAGGGGACAGCTTCCAGCACCCAAAACGCATCTGCCCCTTTTTTTTCTGGCAAGCAGAAGAGACACTGAGTCCTAGGGAACCCTGTGCTCCATCCCCTTTATCAGGCTGCTGCCCTGACTGCATCCCCACCAGAAAGAAGCTGCGGGCTAGATCCAGCTCAGCCAGGAGCATCCCACTCTGCTTCCCAGCACTAACCACCAGCAGCTCCCAATATTGTCCCAGTACCCGCGTCAGGCACTGATATACACCCCCCTCACCCCCCCCAGGTGCAAGAGGCTCACGTCCCCCCAGCTTGGAGGGAGCCCTGTGCTCAGGCACAAAGCCAGCAGTCTGGGTAATTACAGATGCTTAATTAGTGACAGCAGGGCCCCTTCTTAACAAAGCAAATTAATTACAAGCAATGTGCTGCATTGAGATCTGAAGGGACTAATGAAGAGCGGGACCACCTGGGCTGGCATTGCCCACCCCCCTCACCCACGGGGACACAGCACAGCTCGTGCCGCAGGGTCCTCACAGCTTGGCAGAGACACGTTGTCCAGCCAGGATTGGGATGTCACCCCTAATGTCCTGGGGATGAGCTCTCTGAAGAACATGGAGATAAAGCCTGTCCCTGTTTGGGGCCACGCTGTCACCTGCGGTTCAGTGACGGGCTTCATGACACCCTCTGTGTTGAGGTAGCTCGTGGGGAGGAAGCGAACGAGTCCAGCTGGGCACGTTTGCTTCCTCCCCGCAAGCCACCCCAAAACTATGGGTGTCATGGAGCACCCATGCTCAGCACTTGCGGGATCTTCTGGGGTCAAGGGCTGGGATGTGCAGGAGAATCCATCTTGGGAAGCATGGAGCTCACAACCTCTCCTCCACCACATCGTAGTACTCTGTGGAGAGAAAAGGGGGTCTGCAGGATGTGCAAGGGCCACCCCCAGGATCTGATGGACGGAGGGAGTGGGGAGGGCTTGGTCTTTGACCGGGGGCTCCCCGTTTGATGCATGCTTGGGGACAAGATGTCCCCCACTGAAGGACATGGGGAGAACGTGTCCTTACCCGATGCTGGTGGGATGTTGGCTCCCACAGTCCCCGTGGCACTGGGGGGCGGAGGGGGGGGCACTGCACTGTTGGAGGGGAGCAAGGATAGGAGTAAGTGCCAGGCTGGCGTTGCCCCTTCTGTCCCAGCTTGGGCTGGAGGGCCCTGTTACACCGGGGGCCGCAGGGACATGCGCACAGCCCCGTGCTGGGTGGCACAAAGCACCCTCGTTACTCACAGCTCCCCATCCTCCGCTAATGAGCCTGTGCCCAGGTACCGCACGGTCGCCCGTCCCCGATCCTGCGCCGGGACTGGCCACGCCAGGACAGGAGCAGGACTGGGGTAAGGGACGTAGTGATGGTGGAAAACCACAGCCTCCTCTTCCTCTCCGGTCTGAAAAGGCACCGCCATGGCCTGCGGGGAGGAGCAAAAGGCAGGGCTGTGCCGAGCCCCTTTCAGCAGCCGTCTCCCTGGGGCACTGCTCCCCAAAGCACCAGCCAGAGAATTCCCACAGCGCTGTACACGGCTGCGATGCCGCCGGCACGGCACGGCTCTCCCAGGGCCTGGCTGGGTGGGCTCGATCCCCCACAAAGCCCCCGTGGTCAGCCAGCGTGGGAACCCGGCTGCTAGGGACGCGGGGAGGTGGCAGCCCCACAGATGGGACCTCAAAATGCCGCTGGGAAGAGCCCGTTTGATCCGGCCACTGAGACGCAACAGGCAGGGTCCAGTCTGGTCCAGCACGGTGAACCGGTGGGCACTGGGCAGGCAGTACGGGAGGGCACAGTCCTAGAGATGCCAGCTGGCAGCGAGCAAGGCAGCTGCCCACAGCCCAGCTCTCGCCCCCGCCGAGAAAGCAGCTTTTGTTTCCCCCCACGGAGATTAAATGTTTAAGATGATTTTGGTTCGAGATGGACTTTTAAATGAAAGCCCTCGCAGAGCCACCCTGCCTAATGAAAAGTTCTCACTGCTCAGCTGCCACAGCCCAGCGCTGCACCCTGTCCGTGCCGCAGCACAGAGGGAGAGCCCTGGCTCTTTCCAGCTGGGTTAAATCACCTCCGAGCAGCCTGGATGCAATCTGTGCTGGCACAGCTGGGCGTCAAACCAGCACAAACAGCCCCAAACCCCCAAGGGGCTGCAGAGCCTGGACTGAGCCGGGCTGACACCACCCAGCCTCTGTGACCAGAGAGGTCCCACGCTGTGCCAACACAGGACGGGGTCATCCCACTCTCCTGAGCAGCTCTGGAAAGGTCCCTTTGCCCACCTCTTTGGCCCTTTTGGTCCTTTGGTCCACTTGGGTTCTATGGTCCCCTTGCCCATCCAGCATCCCCGACCCTTACCTGGGCAGTGGCTGGGGATGGCCCGAACCCGAAGGCCGTCAGTGCTGTTACAGCCAGGCTGTTCATCACCACCTGGTGCATTTGGGAATTTTGAAGCATCATCAACTTGATTAAATCTGCCACAGAGTAAGGGGCTCCGCGTCAGAGAGAGATCAGAGCAAGGACACGATGAAAGTGGCCATGGGCTGAGTGCCTGGTGGCATAAAGGCTTGTCCCTGTGCCCAAGCAGTGGGAGCTAGGCCAGACTTCCCCCCATCCCAATTTGGAAGGCCCATGTGGCATTTAAAAATTATTTTGCTTGGATAAAGCTTTAAAATAGCCATATTTCAGCCTTTTCTTCTTTGCAAATGTGATTAAACATCTGGTCTGGCTTGCTGAAGGCTGCTCACAAAAGGTGATTAGCGGTGCTGGAGGCATCAGACTTTCCACCCATTCGGAGGAGAATTGCTCTGGTCCTGGCAGTGCTCAGCGGCTTGGCAAGCCTCTGCCTTGGCACTGAGCAGCAGAGCTGATGTCCTCGGGGTGGCACCCCGTGGGGAGCATGCCCAGGTCAGATCTACTTCACACCACCTCACACATGGGGGAGCTCAGAAACCCCCGAAGGAGGCAGGAGCCGGGGCCGGACCCTGGGGGCTGATCACCATTCCCAGAAACAAGCACCTATGGAGCTGGGTCCAGGAGAGGAGCAGGCTGGGGATGCTCGGAGCCTCCTCCAGCCCTTGCCTGGCTCCGCACGAGGAGCTGGGACCCAGAGCAGCCGTGCACGTACAGGTTAGCCTCCCAGTCCCTTTAGCTGGATCCCCAAGCCATGGGAGGGCTGCTGAGGGCAGTCCAGCTGCTGAGGAAGAGTGGCATCTGCCTCTGCATCCCCATTAAAACAGCCCCATTTGCCGCAGGCAAGTTCTTCCTGTGCAAACCTCCCGGAGGGGCTGCCTCTGAGATCCTGCTGGCTTTGTGCACAAGACCTGCGAGCCCCTGTCAGCTGGTAAAAAAGGGTTTGGGCATCCCTGTGCCCCGTGCGCCAGATCCCAAAATGCTTTCGCGGCTGCAGGGACGGGCTCCCAGGGCACTCATGGGGCAGCTGGCCCCCCCAGGGAGGAGCATTTACAGCACAACCCGGGAGGCGACCGGAGCCGGAGCCACGAGGAGGGAGCGGGCCAGCAGCCAGGCATTGAACCGGGAGGAGAAAGCACGCAAAGGGCTGGCAGCTCTTAATGGATCCCACCCGCCCCCCTGGAAAGGCAGCCAGCCCCCACCGCAGGGCTGCAAGGGGCCAGGCTGGGGTCTCTGTTTTCTTTCCACACCAATTTTCAGCATATCTTTTCCTCCATATATTTTTAAAGACAGTTTAACCTTCTCCCCTCCCCGTGATGCTGCACAGCTTCGCCCATGGCATGTCCCAGGGACCACAAGCCCCCCTGCCTCTGCTGTTTGCTCCCCCAGTCTCAACTGCTGGATCCTGGGTTGCATAAGTTTGGGTGAAGCCCCTATAGACTTTGCTCCTGCTTACACATCCCATGGGCTCTGAGTCTGACGTGTCCCACTCTGGTCCCACCTAGCACAGCCAAGGAGCTCATATCACCCTGGCTTTCCCTGATGGTGCTCCCTACTTGCAGTGAAATGGGGTTTTGGAGAACAAAAAGAGGTGGATTTAAAAAAAAAACAGCCCCAAACCATTCCCTGGGAGCATCCTGGTGTGGCCAAATTCATCCCAGACTTCAAGGTTGGTAAAACCACCAAAAATCACAACCCACGGGGCAAAGCTGCCACCAAAGCATGATGTGGCCGGTCCCTGCGAGGCTGCAGTGGGCCCAGCCGCCCTGCCTGCCCCTCATCCTTGAAAAGGCTGGAAAAAAAAAGAGGAAGTTAAACTGGTTTTAACGCTGACCTCTACGACGTCTACCATCACGCACCTCCCCGAACATGCGGGGGTCCGGCAGCGGGGGCTGGGGCAGCCACGGGCCCGGGAAGCTGCTGGAGGATCATCACCGGCTGCTGGGGCACAGGCACGGCTCCATGGGGAGATCGCTCAGGCCGGAGCTGAAAGGCAGGAGGGGAAGGAAAACCCCAGGGATCTCCCACTCTGGGTTTAATTTAGTGCCCTGTTAGTGCGGCAGCCGGGGAGGAGAGGGGGCAGGAGCTGGTGGCAGGGAGGAGAGCAGTGCTGGCCCTGGGGGGAGCAGGGATGAGAGCCTCAGAGGACGGGGTGACTTGCACCGGCCCTTGTCTTTCCAGGGGTGCAGCCCTGCAAGCCTGGATGAATTGCATGTCTGGCAAGTCCCCACCCCTGGGGACATGTCCCTGTGCAGAAGTGGTCTTCCCGGGCCCCTGGGGTCTGCAGGGAGCAGGGAGGCATTTTGCAAAGAGCACCTTTGCTGCCCCAGACCCCAACCCTCGCCCCTCCCTCCTCCCACCCCATCCTCTTTCCCCCACCTTACCCTCATGAGCCCAGACTATCCCATAAATCCAGAGGCAGGACAGCTTTTTAGGGCTTACCCTCTGCGGGATGAGGTAGGTCCCTGCTGGGGTGTCCCCCCAGACCCCCTGGGGGTCCCTCGCTGCCCCCACCTCCATGGCTGGGGGCAGGCGGGCAGGCGATGGGGTGAGCAGAGGTAGAGCAGGGCTTGTTGCTATAGCTGCTGGGGCTAAACAAACCCCTCCCCGGAGGTTTGGCCAACAGGGGAGTGTCCCTGGGCTGGTTTTCCCTACAGGGTATCGCCAGGATAACCAACCCCACTGCAAACAGGCTGTGGGTCAGGGATGGCTTGTGCCCCCCAAATGATATTTCGGAGCCTGCAAGGACAATCTTCCCCGCAGGGAACTGAGCTGGGAGCAGGGGGCTGCAGGTTTATTCGAGCCCTGCTACTGGTCCCAGTTGCAGGGGAGATCTAGTCCCAGTGTTGGGGCTGCTCAGCCCCACTGGCAGCATCCCACAGCTTGTGGCTTCGGGAGCTTTCCTAAAATCCCAGGTTCAGGTGCCCTGTGGTCTCCGCAGGTCCCATCCATCACGGCCGGTGGGATACGGGTCTGCTCCTGCCCCATGGCTCATGCTCTCAGTGCCTCTCTTTCCCAGTCTCTGGGGAGAGACTGAGATATTTGGGGATACTGAGCCCAAACACAGCAGCCCCAGGACAGAGCAAAGGTCACTTGGCCAGGGATTAAGAGGGAAAATATATGATGAGAGTTCCCTGTTCCCTTCTCCCCAGCTTTGGCAATGTTGGGCTCTGGAACATCCCAAGCCAGAGGCAATCCTGTCTTTAACAACCTTTTCTTTGCTAAATACACTTTGCTGAGCCCAGGTGAACTTTCAGCAGCCGCAACACCCCATAGCAATGAGATCTGAAGTTTAAGGGCTGTTGCCTTGTGTTGCCTTCAAGCCTGCTGCCAGGTCTCCTCCTCGGGAAATGGGAAAACAAGGAGGAGGGGGGCAGGCTGGCAGGATGCACTTTCCCATCAGAGCAGCTCGCTCCTCGCCACACCGCCTCTTTGATTGGGACTTACTGAAAGGTCCTTTCAAGCGCTGGCGGAAAGCACCTGGAGGGGCCGGGAGGCAGCTGCAGCGTGTCCCTGTGGGGCTGAGCCATGTCACCTGCGCCTTGGGGGGGGACTCTGGGACATCAGAGCAAACCTGGTGAGGTGCTTTTGCAGGGAGCGTTGGGAGACGGGTCTGGGTGAGAGTCTGGGATAGCTTTGGATGTTCAGGCTGGGATCGGATCTCCAAGGCTCTGCAGTGCCCGCTGTCTGAGGGAGGCATCCCTGCCCACGCACCACAGGTTGGGGGTCTCTGGTGGTGGTGGAGAAGGTCCTTCCACCCCATGGGATGTCCCCGTGCAGGTCCTCAGAGGCAACATCCCCCCGTGCATGACCGAGGCACAGTGGCCAGGGACGTTGCTCAGCCCCGCCAGTGCCACCTGAGGTTTGATCCCCAGGGTGGCCGTGGCACAGCGCCGGGTCCCCTGGGCCTGGCCCCCATCCTCATGGGACATTTCCTCAGGAATCCAATGACCAGCCACCGCATCCCCCCATGGAAACCCAGAAAAGGCTTAGCACGAGTGCAGATTGATTGCACCAGAGCCTGGCTCCAGCCTGCCGCTCTCCCCTACACCACGAGTCCCTCCCAGGGTGCTCACAAGGGGATTTGTGTCCGGCAGACCAAAACCAGCTCACATTTTCCATTAATCTCCCCTTGGCCAGAGAGCTCTGCATATCTGAACTCATCTCAGGGAAACACTGAGGCTGGGAACAGTACGTCTGTACAAAATATTTAAGACCCAGCAAACCCATTGCAATGAAAAACCACTTTCTCCTCCAAAGCAGCCCAACTTCCCACTGGCCTTGGGTATATTTCCTCCACTTCCATCAGCTGCATATCCCTAGGCTGCTCTTCTGGGTGATTATTTGCATCAATATTACATCCAAAATCTGCCGTCCACCAATAGCACAGATGTGGGAACTTGTCCCAGGAACCCAGCCTGCAGCCAGCCCTGCTCACTGAGCAGGAACAGATCTCTCCAAAAATGCTTGTTCTGCCCCAAAACGGCACTGGAGACACCCCCAGATGCCAGGGGAGGAGTGCTCTGAGGCCAGCTGCCTTAGCCCCCAGCCATTGGCTCCAGTCAAGCTATTTTCTGCTTGATTAGATTTTGTTCTGTGTTCCTAATTTCTCCAAACCCCTCCAGATTATTTCTCTGCCTTTTGTTATATCTCCCAAATTCCCATTATTTGCACATTTAATTACTGTGCTGATTACCCCCTGCTTCTGGCAGAGCCTGCCTTGCTCTGAACAGAGCCTGGGTACCAGTCTTGCTGGTGCTCATATTGTTCTCATCTGTAGGAAGGATTAAAGCGCCAGGGCAAAGGGCTGAGCAGCATAAGGAAACCTTCTGCCAGTGGTGGGACAACAAGGGGTGACAGGGGATCTGCTCTGATTGTGAGGAGAGGAGAGGAGAGGAGAGGAGAGGAGAGGAGAGGAGAGGAGAGGAGAGGAGAGGAGAGGAGAGGAGAGGAGAGGAGAGGAGAGGAGAGGAGAGGAGAGGAGAGGAGAGGAGAGGAGAGGAGAGGAGAGGAGAGGAGAGGAGAGGAGAGGAGAGGAGAGGAGAGGAGAGGAGAGGAGAGGAGAGGAGAGGAGAGGAGAGGAGAGGAGAGGAGAGGAGAGGAGAGGAGAGGAGAGGAGAGGAGAGGAGAGGAGAGGAGAGGAGAGGAGAGGGAGAGGAGAGGAATTTGGGGGTGTTTAACATGAGTTCACATAAAACCATGGAATTTTTCTTGAGCCAAACCAAGTGCAAACCACATGTAGGTCCAGTGTGACCCATAGCCCTGATGCATCTCATGCAGCACTGCAGGACAGGGCACAGGCTGGGGGCTCATCTATGGACAGGGCTGTGCTTGGCTGCAGCCTGTCACCATGGCATGTCCCTTTTTAAATCCCCCAGCACATCTGTCATGCAGAGAGAAGGTCTGGGCATCAGTGGGAGAGAGGGAACAGGAGACAAGGGCACTACACACCCACCCGTGCATGTCAGCCCTGCTCTCAATCAACACAGTCTGGGCACAAGGAAACACAAGTGTCAGGCCATGTGAGATGGGGACAGAGAAGGCAGCTGCAGCTGTGCTGTCCCCAGGACACTGCCCAGAGACATGTTTCACAGGTAGAAATGACCCTTTGGCTGGATTTACCACCTTTTCTCACCCAGGAGGTGGAGTGGGGACCCCCATCAGCCAACTCGCCTACACTGGGGAGAGGTGACAGCCCAGGAGCCATTCATGCTCCCCATCTTGACCTGTTTGGTGATGGCACATAAGCCATCCACACGTGCATCATAGAAAACCAGGGCTCAGGAGGGACCAGAGGATTATAAAGTTCTGGTGGGGATGGGCACCACCAGTAAAAGCCACCTTGCCAAACCCAACCCCTAGACTGAGATGTGTGCCAAAAGACACCCTGAGGATGCTCAGTATATAATTTTACAAGCAGCCCTCTCTTTGGAAGCTCTTGAGCCACTCTCTTACTGTAAGTCTGGAATTTCTTGTTCTTGAAACCCTCACCTAAATCTTCACCCTAAATCAAGCCCAAGGCCAGGAACTCATCCCCATCCTCTGGTTAGGCAGAGGGTGGGCTCCACCAGAAGTTTTGCTTTGGGCCATGGTCAGGACCAAAGCAGTGGTCCTGAAACAGGGTCAATCCCCTGGGGACTGGGAGGGACAGGCACCCTCTGCCACCACCTTGGACATGAACCCACCACCTGCCCCACGTAGGTGCAAGCAGATGCCACAGCACACGCTGGGAGCAGGGGGTGATGCTGCCCTGGGGAATCTGGAGCAGGGACGACGTGATCCGGCCCCTCGGCGCCACGCGATGCTCTCTCTGAGCAGATCTCTGCTGGCAGTGCAAGCAATGAAAGCTCAGCATCAACAAGCTCTAGGAAATTATCCGAGCAGCAGAGCAGGGGCACCCCGGGCGCGATGCCCGGCCGTCACACTGGGAACACTGGGATGGGGATGCGTCAGCCCCGGATGAGCTGTGCTCTGATATGGCCCGACAGCAATGACTCACTGAGCTGCCCTCTGATAACTAAGAGAGGGCAGCGAGGTGACGGTGCATCCCTTGTGCCATCTCCCTTCCCTGGAGACAAATTGGAGCCAGAGAGATTCCCAAAATGAGGAAACGCAGGCAGGAAGCAGCAGCCTTGCCTAAGACTCATGAAAGGTGAAGTAAGCATGACTGAGGCAATACGTCCCCCTATAATCACTTCTGGCTCCTCAGGTGTATAAAAAAAGTCCAAAAACCAGTTTTTCATTGCACATGAAGACAAACTCCAGATACGGAGTGGCAGCCTGGCAGCCACTGTCCCCGGTGCTCTGCATCATGCTGTCACACACAGCCACTCGGGCACACACCTCTTGGGGATGCTCTGTGGTCCAGGAATGTGTGTAGGTGAAAGCATCTAATTTTGAGAGATAATTACAAAAAAATACCACTTTTCCCTTCCAGGAGGTCTCACACTGCTGGTGCTTTGAGCCCCATCTTCCCTGAGCCATCATCCAGCCACTGTGGTCTCCTCTTACTCTGAATCGCCCTTCGCAAACGGTTTCCCTCCACAGAGCCTAAAATTAAGCAAGAGGTTGTTGGCGAGGGCAGGGGATACCCCACTTCTTTGCTGTAATGTGGGATGGAGGTAACTCAATTAGTGGTTTCCAGCCCTTAGTAAACGAGCATTTGCCACTTGCAGAAAGATTACTGCGAGTGACTTCATTTGCTTTGGAAACAGCTGAGTCATTGGTAATTACGGACAAGCACCAGCAGCAATCCCAGCGCTGGCGTGGGATTAATGGGAGCACCCGTGGCTGGAGGTCAGCCTCCCGGGAGCTCCCCCGGGGCCCCACGGCCACTGTTCCCCACCACCCACGGCCATGCCTGCCCATGCTGCCACACCAAAACGATGTGCCCAAAGCAAATCCTCCCACCCCGTCCTCTCCAGCCAGCCACCACCGTCCCCCCCAGTTTCACCATTGCACACCCGCGTGCGGGTCCAGGTGGGGAGCCCAGAGGGGGCTGGAGGGGCTTGCCTGGCCAGGAGTTGCAGTGCAGTGAGTTTGACCTCATTTATTTTC